CCCAGGCTGCAGTGCAGTGGCGCAATCCCGGCTCACTGCAACCTCCACCTCCCAGGTTGAAGCAATTCTCTTGCCTCAGCCTCCCAAGTACTTGGAATTATAGGTGCACACCACCATGCCTGGCTATTTTTTTTGTATTTTTAGTAGAGACAGGGTTTCACTATGTTAGCCAGGCTGCTCTCGAACTCCTGGCCTCAAGTGATCTAACTGCCTCAGCCTCCCAAAGCACTGGGATTACAGGCATGAGCCACCATACCCAGCCACCCTCAAAGTTTCTGATTCAGGAGTTCTAGGGTGGGACCCAGAGGTTCATGATATTGAAGAGAGAAGGAGAGGGAGTAGGGTGGGAGGGAAGGAGGAGGGGGAATGAAAGAGGAAAGAAAAAAGACAGGTTCCTTGTCTTCTGGGATTTTACACATTCCTAGAAGAAATAAGACAAGCATTCATATAAACGGAAAACAAAATGAACTATGATATAAAGCCAAGAGAGAGAATCCAAATGTTCTGGGGGAGATGACTTCTAGCAGAGGTGATTAGAGGTGGTTCCAGGTAGGTAGAACTGGGGAGGGCTTGGTGGGGGGAAGGGACAGAGTTTAAGGACAACTTTTATAAAGACGATCTCCAAGGGTGTGCACTCAAAGAAAAACTGGGATTTTATCACATAGATATGGGACAAGGCTATTCTAGGCCACAAATCCAGGAGCAAGGGCCAGGTGCAGTGGCTCATGCCTGTAATCCCAGCACTCTGCGAAGCTGAGATGGGCAAATCATCTGAGGTCAGGAGTTCGAGACCAGTCTGGCCAACATGATGAAACCCTGTCTACTAAAAAGACAAAAATTAGCCGAGTGTAGTAGCACATGCCTGTAATCCCAGCTACTTGGGAGGCTGAAGCAGGAGAATCACTGAACCCAGGAGGCGGAGGTTGTGGTGAGCCCAGATCGTGCCACTGTTCCACTCCAGCCTGGAGGATGGAAAAAGACCCTGTCTCAAAAAAAAGCACTGGCTGTGTTTAAGAAACAGCAAGACTGGGTCTGAATGGAGTGGGGGTAGAGCATGGTCAGGGTAGTGGGTCAGGGTGGAAGCAGGCTGCAGGGGAAGGCTGGGCCAGGTCCCACAGGGCCCCAGATTCCAAGCAGAACACAGAGGTCATGTTTGATTGGGTAGATACTGGGAAACTCATGAAGTTTTTTTTTTTGAGACAGAGTCTCGCTCTGTCGCCAGGCACCAGGCTGGAGTGCAATGGCACAGTCTCGCTCACTGTAACCTTCGCCTCCAGGGTTCAAGCAATTCTCCTGCCTCAGCCTCCCCAGTAGCTGGGACTACAGGCATATGCCACCACACCCAGCTAATTTTTGTATTTTAGTAGAGACGGAGTTTCACCATGTTGGCCAGGATGGTCTCAATCTCTTGACCTCGTGATCTGCCCGCCTTGGCCTCCCAAAGTGCTGGGATTACATGAGTGAGCCACCTCGCCCGGACGCTCATGAAGGTTTTTAAGCAGGAGCACCCTATCACTCTGGTACGAGTGGAAGAACTGCGATGAAGGGGCAGAGGCTGAAGACAGGTTCAGTTTGGCAGCTGCTCCAAGAATTCGGGTGAGAAACTCCAGGCAGCTGGATTAGGGCTGGGCATGGGGAGTAAAACGTCCTCAGGAAACAGTCACACAAAGAGAGAAGCTCTGCCACTTAAACTATTAACATAGGTCTGATCTTCATTAGAATCAGAAGATATTTGAATCATGAGTGCCTAGAGGTTCCTGTTAGAAACACATTAAACAACCAATGACTAACCAGGCCTGGAAACGTCCTGTGCTGAACGAATGTGTCCAAAGGTCCCAAGCTGGACATACAGAAGAGGTTAAACAGCCTTATGTTGAATAAATGTTTGAGAAGGGATGAAGACAATGCAGGGACTCCTGTGACAATCATGAGGAAGGTCAGGGGTGTTTGTTAAACAAAGACAATCTCAGAGGCAGAAGTCAGGGGACAGACAAACCCACACGTCTCAGATGGTCCCCATCTCAGGTGCCCAGTTAAAGATGAAAGGCACAAGGCTGGGTGCTGTGGCTCACACCTGTAATCCCAGCACTTTGGGAGGCAGAGGCGGGCAGATCACAAGGTCAGGAAATCAAGACCATCCTGGCTAACACAGTGAACCCCCAACTCTACTAAAAACACAAAAAATTAGCCAGGCTTGGTGGTGAGCGCCTGTAGTACCAGCTACTCAGGAGACTGAGGCAGGAGAATCACTTGAACCTGGGAGGTGGAGGTTGCAGTGAGCCAAAATCATGCTGCTGCACTCCAGCCTGGGTGACAGAGCAAGACACCGTCTCAAAAAGAAAAAGAAAAAGATGAAAGGTACAAAGCCCCTGCTGCAAACCAGATGAGAAGAGCTGTAGTCACCTCTGACACCTGCTGAGAACCGAACCTCTGCTCTGTGCCTCCCTAGCCAAGTAACACACAGCCTGAGGCTTCTCCTCCACCCTCTTCCACTCTCTCCTCCTTAGCATCTGACTGCAGATCTGCAAGTTCATTACAAACTGGTCACCTCCACCCAGAGGCACGCAGACAGCTGTAAAATAGGAGGACTGGTTTGCTTATTCTAATAGGAGAAATAAAATTCAGTTATTTTTCAGGGCCAAAGAAAATCAAGTACTTTGCTTCAAGCAAAACTGAGATCTCTATGCAGAAAGAGACAGTTCTGGGCTGGGAATGGTGGCTCACTCCTGTAATCTCAGAACTTTGGGAGGCTGAGGAGGGCAGATCAGAAGGTTAGGAGTTCAAGACCAGACTGGCCAAACATGGTGAAACCCCATCTCTACTAAAAATACAAAAATTAGCCGGGTGTGGTGGCGGGCGCCTGTACTCCCAGCTACTTGGGAGGCTGGGGCAGAGAACTGCTTGAACCCAAGAGGCGGAGGTTGCAGTGAGCTGAGATCGCCCCACTGCACTCTAGCCTGGGTGACAGAGCAAGACTCCATCTCAAAAAAAAAAAAAAAGATCTGAGTTTGAATCCTGGCTCCACCGCTTCAGCTGTGTGAACTTCCTGGACTTGCATTTCCTGTGAAATGACAATGCCACCCACTTACATGATTCTTAATGAGATGGACAGTTATGAGCATGCCCAGAGCACGGTTGGGTCACTGCAGACCTTCGCTGTCAATCCCTTTCTCCAGAGGGCAGCTTTCCTCGTTCTCCCAGTCCCTGGCGGTTGTCACAAGTCTCCGCCCCAAACCCCCTTTAGTTTCTTTCTCTTCTCTTCCCAGTCTTCTGAATCCTCCAGGCCAGACGCTCTGGACACTGTTTTAATTCCACCTGCATCCCCTCCTTTCAACATCCACTAAGAACTGTCACTTAGAATCATAAATCTTGCTTCTGCCTGGTACAAAGGCACATGATTTTAAGGGATCTCTGGGGATCATAATCCTGCTCATCTTCCAGGGTGGTGACGATTACGTGAGTTTTCCATATTAGATGCTAAACATATTTCCTGGCTTGCAGAGCTAGCTTGGGGAATGCTAGCCATTGTGACTATCAGTTCTTTCTCACATGTCCCATCTGGGGCTGACCCCCATCGCTGCACACCCAATGACAAGGCAGCTTCCTGGCTGCTCTCCTGCCCCAGCCTCTCCTTACCCTAATCAAACCTACATCCTGTTGCCAAACTCTGCTTCCTCCCATGCCCCTTGGGCACTAGGTCAAGAACCAGCTGAGGCCAATGACATTCAGTCCACGGCCTCACCCACCCTTCCCCCAAACTACTTCCTATCACTTCCTAAAAACACACTTGCCACTCCAATCAGCCAGCCCTCCTGTCACCGAGAGGTATAAACTACCTTGGCTCTGCCCTTCCGAGCCTCTGCTCAGCACAGCTCCTCTCACCTGCCCCACCCTACTCCCTTCTGTAACCTCCTGCTTAGGTGTCACCTCCTCCAGGAAGCCTTCTCTGACCTGACCTCTCCTCTCCACATTCCATTCTCTAAATTTCTGTAGTTCTCGTCAGCACAAAGGACTCAACTATATCCTATGAATCCTGAGGCAGCCTTTAAGGCACAGGCACATCTGAAGCAAATATCTGGTAATCAAGTGAGTCCAGCTTACAACGGAAAACCAGGCGGGAGACAGAGTGGTTAAATGGCATGCTAGGATCCCAACGCTTTTGAGTAACACAGGAGACAAATAGAGCAACAACTGCAAAGAGCTCAGGTTTGAAACGACTATTTTAAGAGCCCAGGATGACTTTATACCACAGAAAGTCCCTAGTTATTAGCTGGTTTGTCATTTCTCTTGGTTTCATAAAAATAATCACATTGAGGCCGGGTACGGTGGCTAACACCTGTAATCCCAACACTTTGGGAGGCCAAAGTGAGCAGATCACAAAGTCAGGAGTTCGAGACCAGCCTGGCTTACATGGTGAAACTAAAATACAATTTCACTACTAAAAATACAAAAATTAGCCAAGCATGGTGGCACGTGCCTGTAATCCCAGCTACTTAGGAGGCTGAGGCAGGAGAACTGCTGGAACCCAGGAGGTGGAGGTTGCAGTGAGCCAAGATAGTGCCACTGCACCCCAGCCTGGGCAACAGAGTGACATGGAGTCTCAAAAAAAAAATCATGGTGAAAACATCAGATTGTTTTCTCTAATTGCCGGAACTATTTGGATGTTTCTTGCATGACCTAGTGAAGGTGCCAGGGGGTGGTTTGTATGGGTCTCCAGCTCCTCCCCATGATAACTTCCATCAGCTTCCCAACCACTCCAAATAAACACAGAAGTAAAAACTGTGCTTACTATGCAAATGTAGCTCTCAGCCCCCTCCCCTACTGCAGTTCAGGAGCTGACACTGCACACAGTGAGGACACTAAAAGACACGCCGACTACCTGCAGACAGAGCAGAGGGATGGCGCTGGCCCCCACTCTGTCTTGAACACCACTGTATCCTCCTCTGAAACACCACACTCCTCCACCTCCTGCCCTCTCCCTATGAGGTTCTGTGTCTCACCACTGTCCCGAAGGGTCTGGGTCAAGTCTTCCACCAGGGCCACCGCCTCCTCACTGCTTTCAGGCCGATGCTCTTGCAGCCAAGCCTGAATTTCCTTTGGCAGCATGGTCAACATCTGCTCCTTCGTGTGTACCTCTGGCCTCAGCCAGCGCCGACAGAGCTCTCGGAGGCGGCCGAGCGCACCCTGTGGTCCCCCAGTTGCCTCCTCCTGGGGGCTGCCCTTGCTGGCACTCTGGGGAAAGGGCTCAGACTCAGGGCCATCCTCCTGCAGTACAGCTTCCTGCACCCAGGAGTCATCCTCCAGGATCATGGTGGTGACCTCTTCCTCCTGTCTATCTTCCTCTTGAGGCACCAGGACCACGGGGCTCAGTGGAGTGGTCACTCTGGGGATCTCTGCAGCCATCATCCGCAGTCCTGGGGCAATCACTTAGGCTTTAAGCCTCGACCCTCAGTCTTCTCCAGCCAGGTAAGACACTTCCCTCCTCAAATCTCAACAAGTAGTCCTGCTGAGAAACAAAAAAGAACCATTATCAATAGTAGACTGTCCTAAAGCAATCTAACTCACAAGTGCCCAGGTCAGCTGGTCGCGGTGGCACGTGCCTGTAAGTCCCAGCTACTTGGGAGGCTGAGGCTGGAGGATCTCTTAAGTCCAGGAGTTCTGGGCTGTAGTGTGCTATGCGGATAGGGTGACCGCACTAAGTTTGGCAACAATATGGTAACCTCCCGGGAGAGGGGGACCACCAGGTTGCCTAAGGAGGGGTGAACCGGCCCAGGTCGTAATGGAGCAGGTCAAAACTCCCATGCTGATCAGTAGTGGGATCGCACCTGTGAATAGCCACTGCACTCCAGCCTGGGCAACAAAGTGAGACCCCGTCTCTAAAAAAAAAAAAAAAAAGCACAGGTCAGACCACCAAGTGGTCCTTACATAATCAACAGATGTTTCCTGTTCCTCTTAAAGGGAAAATGGCTTATTCCTGGAAACATCTCTCTGTGGTAAGAGAAGTTAAGAAGGCTGATTGTGGTGTCTCACACCTGTAATTCCCAGCACTTTCGGAGGCCGAGTTGGGCAGATCACCTGAGGTATGGTGAAACCCTGTCTTTACTAAAAAATACAAAAAAAAAAAAAAAAAAAAAATTGACCGGGCATGATGGTGGGTGCCTATAGTCTCAGCTACTTGGGAGACTGAGGCAAGAGAAACTTTTGAACCCAGGAGGTGGTGGTTGCAGTGAGCCGAGATTGCGCCACTGCACGCCAGCCTGAGTGACATGGGCGACAGAGCAAGACTCTGTCTCAGAAAAAAAAAAAAATTATCCCAAGCACAATAAAACACAGCGTTCTTCTTTCCAAAACACCAAAGAATGAGTATCAGAAATGCAAAGTTCCTGGAAAAACCCCTGACTGCAATGCTGAGGACTCTCGTAAGTCAGTCCCGACTTGCACTGTGTGACCGAGACCTAACAAACAACTAAGTCACTCAATCTCGGCAACCACCTAATGAATACAGATAATAACACTCAAGTTTCTGTTGTTACAGGGGCATCTTAGGGACTGGCAATGGATCAGAGGTCAAAGCCCTTTGAGCTTCATTGGAAGAAAGGCAGTATCTCAATAGCATTATTACCGTACTTTAAGCATGAAGTTTAAAGCATGCCCATACTCTCCAATCCAGCCTCAGCCCCTCAGTAATTTATCTTAATAAACATCTTTGCAAAAAGAAATTTATTTGCAAGGACACAAAACCATTAAAAAACAAAAACATTATCTCTAATGCAAAAAAATTGAGTCCTTAAAAATCCAGCAGCTGGGGCAGCGTGTGGTGGCTCAAGCCTGTAATCCTAGTACTTTGGGAGGCTGAGGTGGGTGGATCACCTGAGGTCAGGAGTTCAAGACCAATCTGGCCATCATGGTGAAACTCCATCTTTTAAAAAAAATTAAAAAAAAAAAATCCAGCAGCTGGGGAATGGCTAATAAACTATGACACATCCGTAGAGTAGCATGTATCAGAAACTGGGCTATAGGCTGGGTGTGGTAGCTGGAATCCCAGCACTTTGGGAGGCCAGGGCAGGCAGACCACTTGAGGTCCGGAATTCGAGACCAGCCTGGCCAACATGGTGAAACCCCGTCTCTACCAAAAATACAAAAATTAGCCAGGCATGGTGGCGGGCACCTGTAATCCCAGCAACTCAGGAGGCTGAGGTAAGAGAATCGCTTGAACCTGGGAGATGGAGGTTGCAGTGAGCCAAGATCGTGTTACTGCACTCCAACCTGGGCGACAGAGTGAAACTCAAGTCTCAAAAGAAAGAAACAAAGAAAGAAACTGCGCTATAATAATGGTTACCTTTGGGTGGTCATGACAGGGAAGGGGCTCAAAGGAGCCTTCTGGGATGATGGAAATTTTGAACATCTTGATTGGCAATGGTGGCACAAGGGCAAACATATGAAATATAAGAACTGTGCATTATGCTGAATGTTTTCAATATTTTAAAAATTATACAAAGATTATTATTATTTTTTTTCCTTTTTTGGAGACGGAGTTTCGCTCTTGTTACCCAGGCTGGAGTGCAATGGCACGATCTCGGCTCACCGCAACCTCCGCCTCCTGGGTTCAGGCAATTCTCCTGCCTCAGCCTCCTGAGTAGCTGGGACTGCAGGTGTGCAGCACCACGCCCAGCTAATTTTTTGTATTTTTAGTAGAGGCGGGGTTTCACCATGTTGACCAGGATGGCCTCGATCTATTGACCTCGTGATCCACCTGCCTTGGCCTCCCAAAGTGCTGGGATTACAGGCTTGAGCCACCACACCCGGCCTACACAAAGATCATTAATCATTAATGATTTAAAATAATCCTTTTGACATGAAAATAATGGATAAACAAAATCAGCAGGGCAGAAAAACCATAGACATAGTAAGTCCCCAATTCCCTTTAAAAACGAACTCATCGCTGGGCTCAGTGGTTCATGCCTGTAATCCCAAAACTTTGTGAGATGAGGTGGGCGGATCATCTCCGGTCGGGAGTTCGAGACCAGCTTGACCAACATAGAGAAACCTGTCTTTACTAAAAACCCAAAATTAGCCAGGCGTGGTGGCACATGCCTATAATCCAGCTACTCAGGAGGCTGAGGCAGAAGAATCACTTGAACCCAGGAGGTGGAAGTTGTGGTGAGTGGAAGTCACTCCATCGCACTCCAGCCTGGGCAACAAGAGCGAAACTCCGTCTCAAAAAATAAAAATTAACTCACAGGGAAAAAGAACAGGGCGGCAGCTACAAAATACTGAGAACAGTAGAATTGCAAACGACTTAAAATAAATATTATAAAAGCAATACAAAATTATTTTTTAGGCCAGGCGCTGTGGCTCACAACTGTACTCCCAGCACTTTGGGAGGCTGAGGAGGGAAGATGGCTTGAGGCTGGGAGTTCGTGACCAGCCTGGGCAACAGAGTGAGACCCCATCTCTACACAAAGAAAAAAAAAATTTAAAATCATTACTACATCATAAAGACTCAGATAACAATCCCCCTCAATAAAAACGGGGGAAAAGTTGACAAAAGCTAAAAACAAAACAAACAAAAAATACACAAAAAGAAAACAAAAGCTAGTGGGAAAACCGAAGCTCTCAACGTGTATTTTCTCAAATGACTAGAAGAAACACTGGCATACGGTATAAGAGAACTCTTCCTACTTCGGAGCCGGGGAAAACTGTGCCGGGTCAGCTAATTTGCCATCTGTCTTGGGGCACGACACGTCCCCTCTGAACCTCAGTTTCCCCATATGTAAAACGCGTAGGCTGCGCGGGATGTCGTCGAATGCCCCTTCCCGTCCAAAGCCTGTGCTTCCCAGTGGGAGATGCAAGGAGCTCTCCGCCAGGGAGACCCGTCAGGAACGAACGGTTCGCTGAGCGGAGCCCGCACGTAAATCCGGGCTGCCGGGCCCCCGGGCCCCCGGGCCACTGAGCGCGACCCCGACGCCCCTCCCCCAGCAGGGCAGCTGGCAGCTGGCTCCAGGCCCTCTATTCCCTCGCCTCGAGCTATTGCCCGGAGTCCGCGAGGCTCCAGGCCTGCCTCTCCGGCTCACCTCTCGGGAGACCAAGTCCTGCTCTAGCGGCTGCTCCGCGTGCAAAAGCGCCCCCAGGCTCGGCCCGGCCCCTCCGGATTCACCCCGGCTCAAGCCCGTGGGGCACCGAGAACAATGGACGGGAGAGGCCCGCCCACCACTGCGCACATTGGCTGCCGAGAACGAACTTAGAAATTCTGCGTTTCTATTGGTGGAGACGGCACTCGGCCGGGCAGCGGGCGGGAGGTCGGGCCCAAGGCCTTCTGGGAGATGTAGTCCGCTCGTAGACGAAACCGGATTGTGGTCCTCGGAGCAGGGTTTGGGGCTGATAGCTTGGCAGTGCCCGCGGGCCAGAGGCAGGGAAATCCGCGGACTAACCGTCAGGTCCCCAGTATTGGCCAGAGCTGTAACCCGAGACAAGCGTTTCATTTATCTGAGGCCTCTGTATATTTGTTTATAAAAAGTGAAAGTTGGATGGACGGGCTCGAAGTTCCTTTTCAGCTGCGAACCACGAGGCAAGGATATTGTTAGGCACCCCCGACCAGCGGGAGCGGACCCTGGACAGGAAGGGAATCCATGCAGGAACAAATCCTCATCGCCCAAGCCTGGTGCCTCTCCCCCAATTTGCAGCTGTACACCTGCACCCGGCCTTCTCACACCCCTTTGTTTTCGCACGTGGTATTCCTGTGTTTGGAGGAACGCCCTGCCCCGCCTCCTCTGCCGTGGAACTGCCATTCTTCCAGCTCCTCCTGGGTGGAGCCTGCCCAATCATCGTCGCTTCCCTAAGCAGAGATACAGCCCCTGGCACACCTGTTAGACGTCTCTATTAAAGAAAAGAAGCCGGGCGCGGTGGCTCACGAGGTCAATAGATCGAGGCCATCCTGGTCAACATGGTGAAACCCCGTCTCTACTAAAAATACAAAAAATTAGCTGGGCATGGTGGCGCGTGCCTGTAATCCCAGCTACTCAGGAGGCTGAGGCAGGAGAATTGCCTGAACCTAGGAGGCGGAGGTTGCAGTGAGCCGAGATCGAACCATTGCGCTCCAGCCTGGGTAACAAGAGCGAAACTCTGTCTCAAAAAAAAAAAAAAAAAAACAAAAACGAAAAAAGGATACACACACACACAGAGAGAGAGAGAGAGAGAGAGAGAGAGGAGAGAGAGGAGGAGAGAGAGAGAGAGAGAGGAGAGAGAGAGAGAGAGAGAGGAGAGAGAGAGAGAGGAGAGAGAGAGAGAGAGAGAGAGAGAGAGAGAGAGAGAGAGAGAGAGAGAGAGAGAGAGAGAGAGAGAGACAGGATCTATATTTCATAGAGATAGGGTCTCCAAATGTTGCCCACGCTGGCCTCAAACCCCTGGGCTCAAGTGGTCCTTCCTCCTCAGCCTCCCAGAGTGCTGGAATTACAGGTGTGACCCACTGCACCCAGCTGACGTCTCCATTAATACTGATCACCGCGTTGCTTACTTGGTAATCTCAGTACTGGGAAAGGGAGGTTGCCCGGGAATGGGAGGCTGGCCTATTTGTGTTCCATGGACTGGTGCTGTTGAAGAAATGGCTGCCCCAAACCTGCTTGAAAACAGGTGAGACACTGCCTGGAAACTCAATTGGAAAAATCTAAGAATGGAGAGACACACCCTTAATGGATAGAATAGTTGTGTATGTTTGCACAGAGCAATTACTGGAAGCACATGCAATGAAATGACTGCATTTTATTTATTTATTTTTTGAGACGGAATCTTGCTCTGTAGCCCAGGCTGGAGTGCAGTGACAAGATGTCGGCTCACTGCATCCTCCCTGTCAGGTACAAGTGATTGTGATTCTCCTGCCTCAGCCTCCTGAGTAACTTGGATGAGAGGTGTGCGCCATCATGCCCGGCTAATTTTGTATATTTTTAGTAGAGATGGGATTTCATCATGTTGGCCAGGCTGGTCTTGAACTCCTGACCTCAGGTGATCCACCCGCCTTGGCCTCCCAAAGTGCTAGGATTACCAGCATGAGCCACGTGCCCAGTCCTTTTCCCATTTTTAAATTGGATTTATTTGTAAGAGCTGTTTGTATATTAAGAAAATTGGGCCAGGCGCAGTGGCTCACGCCTGTAATCCCAGCACTTTGGGAGGCCGAGGCGGGTGGATCACGAGGTCAATAGATCGAGACCATCCTGATCAACATGGTGAAACCCCGTCTCTACTAAAAATACAAAAAATTAGCTGGGCATGGTGGCGCATGCCTATAATCCCAGCTACTCAGGAGGCTGAGGCAGGAGAATTGCCTGAACCCAGGAGGCAGAGGTTGTGGTGAGCCGAGATCAAGCCATTGCACTCCAGCCTGGGGCCTGGGTAACAAGAGCGAAACTCCATCTCAAAAAAAAAAAAAAAAAAAAGAAAGAAAATTATCTCTTTGTCACAGCAGTTGCTACTCTTTCTCAGTTTGCTGTTTGTTTTCTGTTGGTTTATTAAACAGAAATTTGAAGTTTTATGCAGTCAAATTTGTTAATCTTGTCTTTTTATAGCGTCTTGAGTTTTGTATTAGAAAGTCCTTTGCACCAAGCCAAAGCTTATGTGAAATTCACCTGTTTTTCACTAATTAACTGCTTTAATCCAAATACAGAGATGCCAAGTGAAGTTCAGCTAGTGAATCTTATCCAATACCCTGGTAACATCTTTATTAGCCCAGTCTGACCACATGCAAACAGCACCACCTCCAGGCCGGCCTAAGAAGTCTGAACTAAGCACCGGAATGCAGAATCTGGGCCACCGCCCCTCCAGGTGATTTTTTGGGGGGTATAACATTGTATTAACAAAGATGGGTTTCTCCATGTGTTCATCCTTACGAGGAATGGAAATTTACACAAAAGGGAAATGATGCAGGGGAGGGTGGGGATGCACAGCTGGAACTTTTCAGCAGACTAAGAGTTCATTTACCTCTGTTCCTAACTCATGTCAACTTTTGACCACAGAACTCGCACTAGGTTGTCACTGGAAAGTCCCAGAGCAGCCATCTCCTCTGTGTCTGATTCTGGAAAGCTGGTCTTTGCCAGTGTCAACTATCCTACATAAGACAGAGAAAGTCACATTTAAGACCAATTCATGGCATACTAATTCTACTGAGATGGGCCCTGGTGACCAAGACAGTACCCTAAGACTGTCCTGCTACATCAAAGCAAGCCCAGAAACACAGCCAAGTTCAAGGTTGCTCCCCTGAGAGATTCCTTTCTCCACTGGCCAAACCACAGGAGTGAGAGGCTCTGTTCCACCAGGAAACAGTCTTGGTTAAAAGCTTAAGAACTAATCGGCTAATTTAAATAAAAGAGACTTAGTGAAAGACTGTCAGGGAGCTGATGAATCAAGCTTGAGAACAGTTAGGAACCAAGAAACAAAAGAGGAAGGCCCCAAGAACCACAGTAACAGTCTCTTAGCAGAAACAGTTCAGCCTGCCCACCCCACGACCACTGGTGGTACTACAGCCATTTCTTTTCTTTCTTTTTTTTTCTGAGACGGAGTTTCCCTCTTGTTACCCAGACTGGAGTGCAATGGCACGATCTTGGCTCACCGCAACCTCCGCCTTCTGGGTTCAAGCAATTCTCCTGCCTCAGCCTCCCAAGTAGCTAGGACTACAGGCATGCACCACCATGCCCAGCTAATTTTTGTATTTTTAGTAGAGACGGGGTTTCACCTTGTTGACCAGGATGATCTCAATCTCTTGACCTCGTGATCCACCTGCCTCGGCCTCCCAAAGTGTTGGGATTAAGGTGTGAGCCACTGCGCCCGGCCCTACTACAGCCATTTCTGTTTCCCTGTCTTTCTCACTCAAATTTCCACGTGGAAGGAAGAGAGCATTTGGTTGGTTGAGTCTAAGTCACATGCACAGTCCCTAGATGCAGCAGGTGAGAGAAGATTGGATCTGGCTCCTAGCTTTTCTTACTAGTACCCCACACAAAGGCAGATTCTCCACTCTGGAGACTGAGGCCTATTATGAAACACTGGACAGGCATTAACAGTGTTACTACTTGTCTCTAGGCTCTGAGCAAGAAGAGACCTTACCGAATACTCAGCCTAAGGCATTTGGGGGCCCTTATCTCATCTAGAGTTGAAAAATGACATGGGTGGGGATGGGGAGAACTGCTCTGTAACAGTTTTGACTGGAGAGTTTAGTCCACTGACATTCAATGTTCCTATTGATCAGTAAGGACTTACTCTTGCCATTTTGTTACTTGCTTTCTGGTTACTGTGGTCTTCTCTTGCTTCTTTCCTTTCTTCCTGACTTCCTTTTTGTGAAGGTGATTTCTCTGGTGGTATGATTTTATTTTTTGCTTTTTGTGTTTTGTGTATTCATTGCAAGTTTTAAAATTTAAGATTACCACGAGGCTTACAGATACTGTCTTATAACCCACTAGTTTAAACTGATGACAACTTGACACTGCTTGCATAAAGGAACGAACAAACAAGTAAAAAGAAACTAGGCAGGGCGCGGTGGCTCACACCTGTAATCCCAGCACTTTGGCAGGCCAAGGTCAGATCAAGACCATTCTGGCTAACACGGTGAAACCCTGTCTCTATGAAAAATACAAAAAAATTAACTGGGTGTGATGGCATGCACCTGTAGTCCCATCTACTCAGGAGGCTGAGGCAGAAGAATTGCTTGAACCCTGGAGGCAGAGCTTGCAGTGAGCTGAGATCGCGCCACTGCACTCCAGCCTGGACAACAGAGCAAAACTCCATCTCAAAAAAAAAAAAAAGGGCTGGGCGCGGTGGCTCACGCCTGTAATCCCAGCACTTTGGGAGGCTGAGGCAGGTGGATCACGAGGTCAAGAGATCGAGACTATCTTGGTCAACAAGGTGAAACCCCGTCTCCACTAAAAATACAAAAATTAGCTGGGCATGATGGTGTGCGCCTGTAGTCCCAGCTACTCGAGAGGCTGAGGCAGGAGAATTGCTTGAACCCAGGAGGCGGAAGTTGCGGTAAGCCGAGATGTGCCATTGCACTCCAGCCTGGGTAACAAGAGCGAAACTCCATCTCAAAAAAAAAAAAAACACTAACAAAAACTCTACATTTTAATTTGTCCTGCTTTTCAATTTTTTTGTTGTTTCTACTTACATCTTATCATACTGTGTCTTGAAAAGTCGTTGTAGTTATTATTTTTGTTTGGTTCATCTTTTAGTCATTCTACTTGAGTCGTTTATACACAATTAGTGCTATAACACTATTTTTCTGTGTACTTACTATTACCAGGGAGTTTTGTACCTTCAGATGATGTCTTATTGCTCATTAATATCCTTTCGTTTCTGATTGAAGATCTCCCTTTAACGTTTTTTGTAGGATAGGTCAGGTGTTGATGAAATCCCTCGGCTTTTGTCTGGAAAAGTTTTTATTTCTCCTTCATGTTTGAAGGATATTTTCTCTGGATATATTATTCTATGGTAAAAGTTTCTTTCCTTCAGCACTTGAAATGTCATGCTACTCTCTCCTGGCCTGTAAGGTTTCCACTGATAGTCTGCTGCCTGATGTATTGGAGCTCCATTGTATGTCATTTGTTCCTTTTCTCTTGCTGTGTTATGATCCTTTCTTTATCCTTGACCTTTGGGAGTTTAAGTATGAAATGCCTTCAGGTAG